CTTATGCTTTTCAATTAATAGTGATTTTGCAATCATGTGTGTGAATTAGGGTCCTATCCCAGAGTATATGCTTCCATTTGAAGAGGAGGTGGGGCAACATCCAACTCTTGAAGATATGCAGGAGTGTGTAGTACAGAAGAAAATGAGACCCGCCATCAGAGAGACATGGCGCAAACACTCGGTAAGTTAATTTTTCAAGGTTTGGCTTTGAACTTTTAGTTCTTAATTTGGTCAGAATTTGGTTTGGATGAGAAGTGATGCAGCTGTGACACTGCTTAATATACCCAAGTACGAGGCTCGTCCACAAAGTAAGTTTCCCTGGGGCCGTTTACAGAAACAAAACACAATTTCATGGAAATATTTATTGCAACAGATACAGCAAGTGTCCAGCTATTTTTCAACATATTCGCCACCGGAATTGAGACATTTGTCATACCGTGGGACCAACTTTTGAATACCTGTGTCGTAGAAGTCTGCCGCCTGGGATTGGAACCACTGTGTGACAACCATCTCCGCCTCTCTGTCATTCTCAAAACGCTGACGCTGACCGGACAGGAATTTCTTGAGGGGTAGGAAAAGATGGAAATCACTGGGAACGAGGTCCGGGCTGTAGGGTGAATGATCAAACACCTCCCAGCTGAACTCCTGCAGGAGACTTGCTGTCCGTCGAGCCGTGTGCGGCCGAGCGTTATCACTGACCGCACTTCACAGTCGGCGGGAGCTGGAATAAGAACCGCCATCTTCAACAGCTGCAGGGAAGTAGATTCCTGTGAAGTATCAAAGATTTGTCTTGCTGTCATTACATAGTCCATAAGCCATACTTTTCATTAACAGTAGCAGTCGGGAAGCATTTGAGGATTTAGTTTCCACTAATATAAAAAAAAGTATAGTAAGCTCTGTTCTCGTTGTATCCTTGTTAAAGAGAACCTGTACATCATATTTGAAACAAACTTATGAAGCATCAAACATGTAATTGGTGCTACACAGGGTCTGGTGGCTCTTTGTGACACAATGGAGGAATGCTGGGACCATGACGCAGAAGCACGGCTGTCTGCCTCGTGCGTTGTGGAGAGAGTGGCACTACAATCTCGCTTACTGCCCACAGCTTTTACAACCATCAGAATGAGCCCTCTTGGCAGCGAAACTCCACATAAAGAGTCCAGCATGTAGAGACCTCAGCATGCTTTGGGTAAATACAATTTTCCTCGGTGTATATGATCCCTGTTACTTTCTAGTGACACATAAGCTTTGAGTTTTTGCTGATGTTGGTCGCTGTTTTGTTTTCTCTACTTGGTGGAATTTTATATGGCGTACCTTTTACATAGTGTCATCTATAAACAAGTGTATACTGTACATTTTGAAACATTGTAGTGATGATGAAGTGTGTAATTGTGACAATGGAAGTGAGGTAAGTCTGTCTTGTACTGATGACATTCCTTCTGACAGCAAGAAAATTGGTGAACTGTTGGGCGATACGAGAACAGGAGGCCTAGGTTGGGAGAACAGTGTGATTGACAAGGAATAAAGTTGATGATTCTAGCAGGTTTGACTGAATTCTGCAGCTTTCATAATGGAATTTGTTAATAATCATCTTTATATTTTCATATTTCACTGTGCATTCAGATTTAATTGTACGTACGCTCTTCATGGATTTTAGGGACAGCTAAACAGACAAGTTGTGTACAGTGTCAGTTGATTTTTTCATACCGTTGGGATCTTGCTTGGAACAGTGGATTGAAGACGTGAAATTATTGATGATGCAATGCTGCTTGTATTTTTAGGGTAATTTATTTTTTAATGAAAGAAAGTAGGCTTATTTGATGAGCGTGATTGTGTATTTGTATTTCCCTTCTTTCGGCTTTTGAATCAGTTGACCGATTTTCATAAAACTCCATTTCAAATTTATGTCAATGGAGGCTGCCGAACTTTATCGGGGTCCTTTTCTGGCGGTAAGGCGCGGCCAGGGCGTGACGCTGACCGCACACCCCCACTTAGTGCAGAGGTTAAGATTGAGTAGGAGCTATACCTCCTCTTCGCCCAAGCGCCTCCGTGGCATATAGTGGGAAGCTTTACTTTATTTTTTTTTAAATGTGCAATTTCTGACATTTGTAACAATTGAGTGACATCATGTCTCCCAGTATTTCATTTTTTAATGTGTCGTGGTTTGATGTTTACTTATAGCAAGCAAAACCTTTCTTTTCCAGTGGATTTTTTTATCGAGTACCTGCACTTGATCTACAGTACCTGGAACAGAGAATTTTAGCAGAAACACAAATGTTTGTACACGTATAGCAAGATGGGGAAACTTACCAGTACTGTTGTTACCTCCATTCATTACTTCATTTTTGAACATGTGCCAATTTGAAAGCTGGTTTTCATGTGTGGACAAGATAGTGTGTTAATTTGTTTGTGCATTGTCACTCAATGGAAGGATGAACTTGGCACTGTGCCATGTGGCCCCATAGGATACTGTGAAGCACAAAATAAATACAGGTTGTCCTAAAAAGATGTATACATACAAGGCTAATATTCTGTCTTATAGTGTGTGTACATCTTTTGGGACATTGTGTATTTTGGTTATTGCGAAGGATTAGAACAATTAGATGTGACATATCCTACTGCCGAGAAGAGCAGTGTGAGTTGTAGCAGAGTAGCTGTTGGGTGAATGTCAGACAGCCACATACAGGGCAACATATTTGACTGGTCTTTTTACATTAAGTGCATACTTTTAATTAGTATGTGTTATGAGTTGAAACGTTATCATAATTCTTGCATTAGCGTTTCAGATTTAATTTGTAGCACTTAATTATAATTAATGATACGAGCATAGTATATGTTGGTAGTGTGCCTGTGTGACGATTAATGATAGGAGCATGGTATATGTTGGTAGTGTGCCTGTGTGACATTCTAATTTAATTGTTACTTAAGGCTTGGGAATTTGCTACTTTCACAGGAAGAAAGGTGTGTATGATTAAAAAGCAGATGAAGCAATTATTATTGTTTTGAGAAGAGGATCTTCTGCTTCCAGTAAGAAGCTGCAGATGGCCTACTCGTGTATAGCGTAGAGGTGTAGTTGGAATTTAATTAGAGAAATGATGATTATAGTTTTTGCTGGATCTGGTAGGATTGGTAGATTCTAGTTTGAAAAGGTTTGTGTTGAGTTATGAGATATCGTTTGTCATTGAATGATAGTGTTATTTCTTAAAATTAACAGGCAAATGTAATATGCATCTCAGAATGCATATAATTTGAAACTGATAGACCTTAACATTACTGGTGTGGTAGTTCTGTGGGGCCACACCTACCACCCCAGCATTTCCAAGTTGCTCATTTTCTCCCGCAGAGTGCAGCTAAGATACGTCTGATGAGTGAACACCTGAAATAAATGGACTATGAAAGGATATATATTCTTAAAGGAAAGCTCATGATTGTTTCTATAATGGTAATTAGCTTAACGATATGCTCCTGTAGTAGTGTTGGAAGATTAATTGTAATGGATATGGTTCAGAGCTTCTTTTTAATTTGGCAAACCTTGAGTTAGGTTTTTATAGTTATTTCAAAACGGTGAAACATTATCATTGTACGTATATAAAATAGTCAATTATCTCAGGTTTTTGTAAGTGGTTTAACACAATTTTCCATTGTCTTGCACTTTACAGTTGTCATCTTTTTCTTTTAGTCCTCTCTTGCTGTTGTTTTCTGTTTTTGAGATAGTAGGAAGTACTTTGTTAGATTTCATTGCCATGAAATTTTTGTCTCTCGAGTGTCTTTCTTAAGTACACAAAGCCAGTGAGCAGGATAAATTTAAAATATCTGAACAAATTTAGAAGATACGCCATGGAGGGCCCTGGCATCAAGTTGGTTGTTTTTGTACGTAGATTTTTCTGTCAGAATGTATTGTTAATGTGAAAGTGTGAGTTCCTTTCTTCGCCTCCATCCTCTCAGTCGTGTTAATGTTTTATTTTTCTACAAGTTGTGCATGTTCATATGATTTTCTCCTTGGTGGAACATCCTCTCCTGTGTTGCTTGGAATTTACAAGGAATCTAGCCATTTATGCAGGAACCCACGTGTTCATGCACTGGAGCATTGCAGCCTTCATGTATAAATCATCGTGTTAGCTGTTTGTATTTTTTAGTAATATCGCTCTGCACTAGTTTATTATCGGAGTGAAACTTTGAACAATTAATACAGATAAGTAGATAGTTTATGTATCCGTACAGATATTTTTTAATGAATGTGAATGTGTGGAGATACATTGCTTTGGTTTGAAATGCTATTGGGGCTCTCTAGACTGCTTTTGAATGTGTGATGTGTATGTTTTTTTATGCATATTGTTGAAGTCCAGTGCTCCAGACTCCAAGCTTCCTGTTTCAGATGGTTGGTTCATCTTCTGATATCAGTGCATTTGATTCCTCTAATTAGTGTTGTGGAGACTCTTGTGGTCATTCTGTCAAGTTCCTGATATATCCGTAGTTTTCATGATTTGTTTATGATAACAGCTCAAGCCCCCACCCCCCTTTTGTCTCATCTTAATTTATTTATTATTGTGTGTTTTTTAATGTTCGTGTAGTTATAAATTGTTATTTTTGCTATTTTACAAACCTGGAATCTATACAGATGTCCAGTATGCAAGCTGGAATGTTATTCTGTGACACATTTAGCTCATGTATCACTGCTCTAATCTGTGCACTGAAAATTCTGTGTAATGAAAAATGTGGAAACTTTGAAAATAGGAAGTATCATTTGCTTTCCAGAGTTTATGTGAAAATTGTAGTGTATTATTTTGTTGTACATTCAATAGTTCATTACATCTTAGTGCACTGATATCGAAGCTCCATGTTTGAATCCGGTCAGATTACTTTGTAGTGTTCTGAATCAGGCCTATTATAATAGTGCAGTGCATATGGATGATATATATTCATCTACAGACATGTCCACAGTGTGCTGTATTGTGTTGAATTTTAAACAGAATAGTCTTCAGTCAGTAACAGTAAAAGTGTGTTTGAAATAGGTCCATGAAATCAACGCACAGAATATCCCAATGTTTTAAATTTAAATATATAATATGCGGCAGGAAGAGAGTATTGTTGCTTCAGATTTTAAGCTGTAGAGAACTTTTCATGCTAGTTTCTATTTTTTATTATGAGTTGCAGTCGGGCAGTAGTACCATTTTTTCTGGTTCTTTCAGAGTGGGGTTAATTCTGTTTGTGACTTTCACTAACAGCAGTTAGTGTAAACATTCCAATATTAACGCTGAATGTTCAGTATAGTTCATCTAGTTAAAAAGCTTGGTCACAGCGACTAACTCAAAGAAGACAAGTTATACTTTTTGAAGCAAGGTGTTTTTACTCAGGTCTTGCTTTGCTGTTTCCACCTTCCGTCCTCTTCCATGTATCAAAACATCTGTTGTGGATATTTTCCAAGATATTGGACAGGTTCCTTCCCACTTCTGGCTGATTCACATGTTATCACAGCCCTGTTAATATTACTGTTGTTGATGGAGCAGTAAACATATGCTACATTCTACCTGGGAAGGGAAAACTGAGTTTATAAGGTAGGAATGTTGTTTTCTCTGTAATAAACATATTTAAGAAAAGTGAGCGCTGATGCCTCTGTGATTGTTCTCCTGACCATGTGACATATGTTGTGCCTGCCTTTGGCACTTCTGGACCACAAAAGGTTTTGCCCATTCTGTTAGTGCAACAGTAACGTAGCCTTGTGTCTGGTATAAATATTTGTTACCCTATGTTGGGTACAGGGTAAACTGAGGTCAATTGGAAACATTCCGATCTGACTCGACTTTGAAATTTGACATGAGGGGAATAAGATTGTTTTGCGATTTGCAGGTGTCAGTACACATTTATGAAACCTTACTCCATGCACACACTGCTGCCTCTGATACCCTTACAAGCCTAGAAGTGTCAGACTTGGTATCATAAATCATGCGTCTGTGAAAAGAGGAAGAAGAGACTTGCTTGCAAAGTATGTCTAGAAGTTGCTTAGAAGTCTTTCTGTAACTTTGACATGTAGTACAACAGCTTAACTGCAACATAATACAACTCTGTTTGTGATAAACAATTTTTAGTTCTATTCCGTTATTTTCAGAAATTCTTTTTATTTGCTATGTAAAATGGACTGTGTTTAGGGGTGACTAAGGCACGTTGCCCTTTCAATGACATTGCTTCAGC